GAAGTTCGAGTGAAAGATTAGCCGTGTGCAAGCATGTAAGATGGTGGCAAAGCATAGTTAGCAGTATATGTACAGTTGACTAGCGACTGGTACTCTCATCAAGACAGTCTGGTCTTTCTTCACATCGTCAATTTTTAATATGAATTCTTTTATGAAGCATATTGGGTAATTTGGCCGATAAATTCCAGAAAGCAAAGGTGATGAGACGTTGTAGCGCAGTCATTTAAGGGGTGTCTTTTACAAGCATCACCTGTCATGCTCTTGTTGCTGCCCCGTTCTCAGATAACCGATCCGAAATTATTGAGTAATATTTCCGATTCACGACGTCATGACGAGACTGCACCTTGACCTGGCGTGATGGCTTGTGCACCTCCGTGTCCCAACGAGCTATACAGGATGGCTTTTGTCAAGCCAGGAGATCTAATCATGCCTGGAAGGTCAATGGGTAGAGGTCAGAAGAAGTTCAGTCGCCTGGTCCGCCAGGTTGGATGTTCGACTAGACTTTGCGTTTCAGTCGGTATAAAATGGTAGAGGAATAATCGGTCCAAATAAATGGGCCTCCACTTCGCTTCACCCGCTGCCTTGCGGTTAGTTTCTTGTTAGAACTAAAGGCTTTGGACGAGAATCCTAATCGCTCTGCTGCTTAGTGGCTGGACACCCTCTCAGTACCCCTCCATCAAACCCCAATGCATACACAAAATATAAGTATTCTGATACTGCATCTTTCGTCGCGCAGGATAATCAGGACCGCGCTGTCCATTGCATCAAACTAGGTGGGTAGTGATAAGTGGACTGCTTCTTAGATATCCCAACCTTTGTTCGATTCTTTGTCTTTAATACTCAGCTCTTTCCGTTTTCCCCTTCTTCCGACCTGTAATAGTCTCTCAAGCAACTTAGATGTCGCTGGCCAAAAGTCGCTGGCAAATAGCACTGTAAGTAATGTATCTCGAAACGAATTGTAATTTCTACAGCGTCGTTAATCACTGAATCTAGGGGCGTTCAACGTGAGGACACTGATGCAGGTAGGTCAGCAAGCTTGTCTGGCTCGTACAATGAAATCCTTAGGAATCGATATTTGCTGCGTGTCGGAAACTCGGATACAGGATCCTACTACTGTAAGCCACTTGAACGCGCCAGATTTGCCGACGAGATACGTTCTTCGCACATCAGGCGACGATGAAGCTCGTTCAGTAGGTCAGCGCCGGGTAGGTATTGTACTGAGTAATAGGGCGGAGTCCTGTCTTATCGACTGGATCCTTGTCAACAGTCGTTTATGTGCAGTGCCTCTCCAGGGTTTAATCAGCATCCGGAAGGGAAGCAACACCAAAAGGTGTTTGTTTATCGTATTGGAATATGCACCGACCAATTGCAGTTCTGATACTCCAAAGGACGCTTTCTACTACGAACTCACCGATCTCATTTGGATGAGTCAAAGCTCCGACATAGTTGTACTTGCAGGTGACTTCAACGCGCAGGTTGGAAAACTAGGCGCATCAGAAGCTTGCCTAGTTGTGCACTGCCTAGCCAATGAACAGATAACGGTGATCGACTTCTTCAGTTCTGCGCAAGACCATCATCTGTTCCTATCCAGTACCAAGTTTCGATACAGCTCTCGACGGACGGCGACGTGGTTCTCCAGTTCAACTGGTACGCTAACTCAAACCGACCTCATAGCAGTAAGTTACCGTTGGCGTGGCTCAGTGCAAAATTGCAGGTCCTATTGGACCACCTGCGTTGAATCTGACCATGCATTAATTTTGATGCAGTTCACTTTTCGACTGACTGGTCGGCGACGAATTCAGGAAACTCGTACAGCTTATCATCGACTATCGGTTTCAGCAGTTCGTGCACACGATGAGTCAGAGCTAGTGCGTAAGCTAAGTGCGCTTCAGCGTGGTGATGTATACGAGCAGTGGGATCAGATTAGACGAGCAATGCATTCCGCAGCGGATATTGCTTGTGGGTCTGAGCCTCAAACCCGTCGAAGGCATTGGATACC